GCCACAAGGTAGACATAAGAGATGAGGAAAAGAATGTTAGATGACAACTTCCTGTGATGAAACACTGATTAACTATTATAAGTAGCACTATCAGTCAGGAGAACAAAGAAAAGAATACAGTCTAACTGGATAATTGTAGTGGAATTTAATAAATGGACTATTTTTTACAATGGATATATGAAGTGAAATAAACAATAATCATATAATTTACCATAGAAGTTGTACAACTTTTGAAGGTAAAGGGAAACTTTATTAACAAATTATTTTAGGCCAATGTTCTGACCCAGTGAATATAATTCTTGGAATAATACAGGAGCTGTTATCACCCCCAGACCTAAAATGATTAAGAGAGGGAATTGTTACCAGAATCTGGCATATAGCAAGATGAAAAGGGCAACTAATTGTAACTGTGGTTCTTCATGGAAGAATGCATCCAGTCTACAGTGAGCCACTAGGAGCAAGAGAGTGAACTAAAATCTCGATTTTATTGTCCTCCTTCCCTCTGATCTTTTTCCAGTGTCTCCTGTTAGCTGATCCCAACCAGATACTGGAGGTGAAGACAGCCTACCCAAACAGTCCTTGGGTCAACTTCCCAGAGTATAAAACAGGACGGAAAAAGAGAGTATAATACAAAGGGGAAAATAGGAGATATCCAGTGTAATAAATATCTTCACAAAATATCCAAAACTGGAACTACCTTTATCTCTGACCTTTTCTACAGCTCCTTTAGGGCATTCTAAATAAGCTCTACTCTTATATTCTTCTTGAACAAACTTCTCACTATTCATGCTATTATATTGTAGGAAAAAGTAAAGTAGGCAAGATCTTCTTATAACCCCTACTAGCTAAGGAGAAGACTCTTTCTTTTCAGAGAAATGAATGCAAGCTCTGGATTTGCATGAAGAGTTATTTAGCCTCCTTCACTCCCTAATTCAAAAAGATCTGCCATCATTTCTCAGAAATAGGTTGATTATGAAGTCATCATCAGTCTTAGAATAAAACAAAATGAAAGAGATGTTTTTCACATTTGTCATAGGAGATTCTCTGACTTTACTTTCTGGTCCACCAATGTCCCTGAAGAATCTAGAAGGAAATATGGGGTTTGTTGAACCAAATCAATAATTCATGTCAACATCAAAGCTTCTTAGATCTAAATGTATAATGCAAAAAAATGAGAAAAATCAACATGCACTGTAGTCATCAAAAACTACACACAGGCCGCTTATCCCTGCAGGTTACATAAATACCATGACAAACTATGAACATTTATGGTACACTATTAAGAAGGAAACAATGTTCACTTCTGTAAAGTGTGGCCAAGTGGTAGAGTGACCATATTACTAGTATCCTGGAGTATCTATAACAATACACTTTATTTCCAAGCCCAGAAGACCGATCTGCTGAGAAAAATCCGTTGTTACATTGCCTAAAACATAACCAAACCAAGACTGGTGTCATTGACTTTTCTTACTATGTAGGAGATCTCTCCCATCTCATAGACAACCTGTCTGCTATCCCTTCCATTTCTAAATCCATTAATTCTATGATTTATTAGGGTTCTTTAAAAAGTTCCAAGTTTCTTGGAAACTTGGAGCTACTTCTTTTAACCTAAAATGAGTTTTGCATGAGGAATATGTTACTCTAAATATGCAGGAGAATTCAAAAAAGTAAATTTTGTTTTAAAAGGGGGACGGAAAGAATGGAGGAATAATATAAATATGGAAACAATTATTAAAATAAGAAACAAAAATGATAAGAAAGTAAATGAATGATAGATCTTCCTAGGAAATGTAGGAAAAAGGAGAGTTACATCATGGATCATTTCCATAGGTAAGAGTATTGCCTAAGCTCCCTGAGAAATACAAATATGTCACTTCTATTTCCCAACATATGAAAGAGAAACCATTCTTAATCAAACCTAGGATTTCCCAAGCTACACATATAGATACTGTTCACACCTTTAGCATTTGAGAAAATGAAATAAATAAAAATCTCTGGGCTGGGGATGTGGCTCAAGCGGTAGTGCGCTCGCCTGGCATGCATGGGGCGATGGGTTCATTCCTCAGCACCACATAAAAATAAAATAAAGATGTTGTGTCCACCAAAAACTAAAAAATAAATGTTAAAAAATTCTCTCTCTCTCTCTCTCTCTCAAGGAAAAAAAAAAAAAACTCTTTAGCTCACCAGTAATTTTCACAAAGGTACCCTGGCCTGAAAGTTTGCTCCAGGTGAGGCATAAATGGACTCCAGGAAGATGGTAATAAAGGGATTAAAAAAAAGAAATCTTTATAGAGAAGTTCTTTCAATAGGAAAAACTTTTTTGCTTCCTGACAGTAATCTCCATAGGAGATTAATATGTTTTGACCTATCAAGTATCTATTACATAGAGCACAAAAGACTTAACCTTGTGGTTATGATGACAACCACAAGCTTACAAAAAATTAGTTTCTCCTAGTGAATTTGTATGCTGTAGACTGTCATAGTCTGCCCTTTGTCATGACTGTGTGAAAGCTCAGAACTCACTTTTGAGCTCAATTGTCTCAACTTTCCAGTTCTTCATACTTTTCTATGGTCTTCCCTGTACCGGATCTTCATCTCCTTTATTCCTTGATTCCATTCTTCTTCTTGTTGTTATCTGTTTTGTTGTGGTTGGTTTGGTTTGCTTTGTTTGCTTTTACCTTATAGCACCTACATATTTATTGCAGGTCACTTCTAATATTTTTGGGAAAAGTAAGTCAATACTGATCAATGATTATAAAATATTTCCTGATTTTAAAGAGCTCACAATCTAATAAAAATAGAAGGTTGGGAAACATTATTGAAATATTACTATGCAGTCTATAGACACTGTAAAGGGAAGCCCAAAATAAATATAGTTTTATGAAGAGTGAAGTCACATTCAGATAAGTGACCACTTTGAGAGAAAATATTAAATGAGATGAGCTTTGAATGACATGAGTCAACATCTGAGGATGTGAAGTTAGGAAGAAGAAAGCTCAAGACATGTTTACCTCCAGATAACATTTGGCAGAAATGTAAGAAAATGTAGGAGATAATGCTGCAAAGACATTGGAACCAGCAGGTGAAGGATGATTGAAAATTTTAAAGCAACTGTGAATCTACAAAATGTTTCTAAGCAGAAAATTATAAAATTGAAGTCATTAAAAGGTCAGAAAACTACATATAAGCAATGCCTTCCAGGATTCCTGAAGAGGAGGCACCTAACTACCATATCTCTACAAAGACCTATATAGATCATGGACACAATTTCTTAAAGGAGAGACAAAATAAGGGAGGCAGCCCAGTTATACCTCCAGAAAAATGCAAGTCCAACCTCAGCATGAGCTGCTTTCTGTCTACCCTGCCCCATCAGCAATCAAGAGATGCAGCTGGAGATTCTAGTGGGGACTGACACTCTCTGGCCCTGAGATGAGGGTGGCACAAGCAGTCTCCAGGCCCTTTCCTTTGTTCCTTGGAATATCCCAAGTTAGTGAAAAAATCTGGGTCTCTCACTCTTGTCTGTCTCTTCAGTATCCGGCTGCCACTGCAGGGCAGAATCATCTCTGATGTCACAACAGATGAATCAGGCTTTGGCATCATCTCACAACACTCTGAGAAGTTGGTGATGATGGATAGGGATAGGACGATGCATTCCAAAGGATGCTACCGTGATGTAAGATTAATACTTGCAGGGTTCCAGAAAAGTCAGTCTTTGAAATCATCAACGAATCAAAGGCTTTCCAACACTCCTGTCATTGTTACAATCTGTATTACCCAGTTCTAATACCAGTGACTGTGGCCAGCTATATCTGTATAGCAGTTGAACGCCGCCTTCTATTTAAAGAGAAAGGAGTGGGGAGGAGGGAGGGAAGAAGGAAGGGAAAGAAGGAAAGAATTCACCTCCCGCTAGCATTTTCCCGGATTCTGTGCTTTTCCTGCATCGTTTGCCATTCCGTGCTCTTGGCTATTCCCTATGGTCTGTGACATTTGCAGAGACTCACGTGGAGTGGCCAACCTCAGCTGCTCAGGGCGATGACGCCTAGGAACTTCCCATGGACCAGGACGTTGCAAGCTCTGACACGCAAGGGAAGGGGGAGCGAGCTGGTTGTCAGGAGGGCCCGGGGCAGCTCAGGCTGAGTGGGGTTCATCTCAAGGGCTGGATCGGTGTCAGCCTTTTCCTCCCTTCAACCCTGTACTGGCGCCTCTCCAACCCAGAGGCTGGCTGATAGATATCTTCTTGGGCGCTCTCTGAGTCACTTGGCTGCGCTTAGGCTCTTTCCTGGATGTCTTTGCGAGTACAAATCCAAGCCCGCCGTCCCGCTGCTTCTCCTGTTCCTAAAACCAGTACCGAACTCCTGCCTGAGGTGACCAAAATTGTGCTGCTTTGCTAGGGCAAAGTGCCTAAGACGCAGGGAATACGAAAGCTTGCGCCGCCTCTGGGAGAGTTGCGCGCTGGACAGCATCTTGGCGATCTCAGGGCTTCGAACCCTGCTGTGTGGTCTGACCTCGCTACTTGTGTGGTATCCACACTCTGGCCGGCCCAAGAATGGAGCTGTGAAGGTGGCTGGGCGCTGGAACTTGGTTTCAAAAATTTCTGACGAAGAATATGATCGAAGAGACCCGAGCCCATAAGGCATTCCCAGTCGCCAACTATAAGCGCTTTTTCCCGAAATTGATAAAGAGTTTTTGAAGAGGAGACCCATTATACCTTTCCCCCCATTATTTCAGCCTCCCTCCCGTCGTTCCTGCCCCTAAGATTCTGGTCAGGATTCCACATTTAATGCCTTCAGGTAGAAGCACTGTCCAAGCCTGAGGCTGCACCCACTCTCCAAAGCATTCCCCCAAGAAAGCACTTGAGTTTCCCAGTAGCCAAGAAAGAGGAAAACCAGTAATTGAAACTGGCCAAAGGAAATGCTCAGAGGTGTACAGGATTCGTGGACGTTGGTATCAAGTCCTTAGAGTGGTTGCTGGTTTCAGAAAGTCTTTTTCCCAAAGAGAAAATGTCAGTCATAAAAACCATCCTGTAAGACAAAGATGAGTGTATCAATTTCTTAAAGAACATTCAAGCAAACATCAAGTTAAAAGGAGTAAGGTGAGGGAAATTCCTGATGATTTTACTAATGTTAAAATTCCATAGATTTGGCTAGTACTTTTATTTCACATCATCAATTCAGAATTCTATAAAGGAACAGAATGACATCAAAGAAAATCATTGGCCTAGGAGAAAAGAGCCCGTAGGCGTTTAGGTGTTATATATGTGGAGCCAGAAAGCTCTGGAGCATCAGGGAGACTCCAACTTAAGGCAACAGCATGGGTGAATATGGGCTTCACGTGGACGGGGAAAGAGAGGCGAAGACTAGTGACTGAGCACTGGCCCCTAAGTCAGGCCTTGCAGATCTAAGGCAGTTCAGTCTTGATTGGGAGAGTTCAGTGTGACACTGGGGTGGAATTGGGTCTTCAAGTACATTTCCTGATGTATTATTGTTTGTTCTACCAGCTTTTTTTAGGAAAATCCTCATCTTGCATTTGGTAGGGCTGGTGCTAACTTACAACTTCACTAACTGTGACTACAAGAAGATCAGACAGGCATATAAGAGTATCATTTTCTGTGCCCTGAAGGAATATATGAATGGGGTAAGTGAAGAAATAATTTTTAAACAAATATATTCTTATCAGAAGGGTAATTATACATACATGAAAACTACAACTTAACTTTCAAAGAAAGAAAAATGCCTTAAAAATTATTTCATCAAAATTTTTTTGTGAGTGATTTTCAAATATATTGGCATCTAAAATGACTATCTATAAATTGGTGTGTTCTAAGTGTGCAGAGGCTGATGAAGAACAGATACTGATAGATAGGTAACATTATGCATCACAAATGCCTTCTGCAGAAGTGCTGCTCTGATTTGCAGTTTTAAAAAAAGACAATGGATAAGGGCTTGAGAAAGAAGAGTAAAAGAGAGGAAATTCTTGTGAGATAAGCCTAAGGAGTGAGAATATCAAGGCATTAAGCTGTGCATCAGGGCTTTCTAGTGTTCTAGATGTTTCAGGATCTTATTATGGGACATGATGCACTTTGGGTTTTTTAAGTGTCTGGTAGGAATCATTTTCTTGATAACCCAAGTTTCTGGATAGAGTGCATGCATAAAATACAGGAATGACTACAGGGCAGATGTAGACATCCTAAGAAGGATGTTATCATTCAAGCAGGTAGTGCTGTGTGCAGATGTGTCTGCTTTGGTGTGTGTTTGGTGGGGGAGGTATCTGGGAACCTCTGATTCCAGGACCCTTTGATGTCCCTTTTCAAACACTGACAAGTAGCATCTGAAGACTCAATGTTTGATTGTTTTGTCAATGATATGACAAGCAAGTACCAGATAGAAACTTCTTCCAGAGTACTGAAAATGATTTTTCCTTTGGGCTTAAAGTTTTGCCCTCTTCTTATTTTTCTTCTCTTTCTTCCAGACCGAAAGTACCAGCTTCGACCAAATTGAATCCTGTTACAACCCAGTGAGTAGAACCATCAGTGCCTCTGGCTTTCTCCCAGAAAAGACGCCAGGCGTTCCAGGGAGGGAGTATCTTGCCGAGTGCAGATCCCCCGGGCAGTGGCGGAGCTCCACAGTTAGTCCGCCGGCCAGTAGGGGACAATTTGGGCTATCAAAGGGAGGCTGCGCCCAGCATGGGAATCCACTTCGGTGCCAATTTAGGGAGAGGAAGTTTCTTTCCGAGCGAGCGAGCGGGATTCCGGGAGAGAGTGCTCCTTTTCTCACTGGGAGAAAAAGCACATTGGAAACTGGGACCGGGAATGAAGTTAGCGACACCTCTGCCTGAGGTCCAGGCGCTTCTGCTCTCAAGTGCTCTTGACAGCGGACTCTAGGGGAAATGGGCGGAGTGAACGTGGGTGACCTTTCCTTCTACTCCAGCGCCTTTTGCTGCGCTCTCAATGTCCCTCCTTCCTGTCGGGTGGTCGCCTTTCCCTCTCCTCAACCATGACCTCTTCTTATTCAAGACATCTTTGTTGTGTCTTCCGTTCCTCCCCCACCTTCCTCGCAGCCCCTTTCATTCAATCTATACTAATTCTCCCCCCTCCTTTTTTTTTTTTTCCTTCTTCTTTCTTTCTGGTGTTTTCTCCCTTGTTCCTAACGTCGCGGCCTGTGAGCAGTCAGATTGTCTCATTAAAATCGAGCACCATACCTTCAATCCCACCAGTGACTGCCTGTCACTCTCCGAGTCCCCCTTCGCCTTGAAAACTAATACTACCCTCGTTCTCCAGTGCTCAGGCTACTCAGGAATTCAGGTAAGCGTTAGGCATGGGGCACTAGCCTTTTTAATACCTGGGGACTAACTTTACTTCAACCGGGGCGTTAGTGATTTTCATTCAGGTTTTATCTTTTGAAGAGCAAAGAAGTCAGGTAAAAGTTGTGGGTTGTCAATTAATCTCACACTGACTGACTGGATTGAATTATGGTTCTAAGCTGTTCCTGGGTGGTTTCAAGGTGTGATCAGTGAGCCTCCTACATCAGAATGTCCTGGCTGCTGTTCAAAATGTCAATTCTCAGCGACACAATCCATACCTTTAAAAATCAAAATTTCAGCCTTATACCAGGCTCCTTAAGGAGATTCTTGTCCATTTCAAAGTTTAGCAACCCTGCTTGGGTTTATAACTTAGCAATTGTATGCTTCTTTCTTAAAATGTTGCATTATATATTAAATCTCTACTCTATGTTTTGCTTGATTGCTTGCTTGAGTGGGACTGCAGTCCCTTTAACATAATAAATTTTTGCAATACAGTCACATGCATTTGAATGAATGTGTAATTTTAAAGATGGAGACATTATAGTGGAGAGTTAGGAGTAGGAACTCTGGAGTCAGCCTGCCTGACTTTGAATCCTAGCCCTTTAACTTAGCTTTTAACTGTGAAGATCTGGACAAGTTTTTAGCATCTATGTGCCTCAGCAAAATAAGTAATCTGTTCTTAAGTCCTACATAGGCTGTCTGTAAGAACTAAATGAGTCACCATATATAAAAGCACTTGGAAAGATGCCTGGTACGTAACAGGTACTCAACTCAAAAAATATTTCAGTTGGTGAATAAAGTAGAAAATTTATGTTCTTGAGATAATTTTAAGAAAGACAAAGATAGACAATGTAGATATGTATGATTGATGTTGATTAACCCAGTAGACTTAACAAATCTGCAATCCAAATGTCTAAGTAGCCAAGACTGTCATTTTTTACGTCTCAAGGATTGAATCATAGGTTTCAACCAAGCTAGGAGTTGAAACCACCTGTATTGAGCTTAAGTGAAAAACTCAAGACCAAGCAGTCATATGAGAAATCTGTTTGGCTCTATGTCTTCCTTCAAAGGGAACTCTGGCAAGGCTACAAGTCTACAGACGGTCACAATAAAATTCACTCATATAAGAAGAGCACAAAGGACAGACTTGATCAAGTTCTTGAGCAGAATTTTTTTGATAAAGGGAGAGTCTGGAGAAAATTATTTCACCCCCACCCTAGCTCAAACAGAAAGTCTGAGACCAATAATAATTAATTAGGATTTAGCAGAATTAGACTGTAAGATTCTTGCTTGGTAACCCAGGATTCTCTATCAATCTGTGTGTGCCTAGGAAGGAGGCTCAGCCTGTCATTACTCAAGGGTTAAGAAATGCACCAAAATCTTGTGCAGAATAAGTCTTCAGGGTGTCTGTGGCACATGTAAGGAGTGGTAGGGATGGGGAGCAGGAATAATTTGGTTTCAAATAATAGACTAGTTTTTCCTGAATTCTAGTAAGATACAGAAGATAAGTCCTATCCTTTGAGGATTTGTGCTCTTGTCAGAGAGATCATGACATCATCAATTTATTTATTCACTTAATCATGCAAAAAGTATCCAGTGTTTCCTATGTATAAGTCACTGTACTCAGTGCTGTGGGGAAATACCAATGATGCAACCATAAGAAGAGTAGGTGAAAGCCAAGTGAAATGACACATACTCTTAAGTATTAGAAGTTTCAAAAAGAAAGATCTGAGGGCTGGGGATGTGGCTCAAGCGGTGGCGCACTTGCCTGGCATGCGTGCGGCCCGGGTTCCATCCTCAGCACCACATACAAACAAAAAGAAAGATCTGAGCAATTTGCAGAGGTTTTGTGGAGGAGGTGCTGCTTGGCCTTTTAACAAGATTATGTGGGTGGAGAGAGAGAGGAGGGCTTTCCTCTGCAAAAAGCGCTCACACTCAAGCAGTTGAGAGGTGGATTTTCTGGGAGAAGATGACATAATCTGCCACTCAAAAGTTGTTAAAGATAGTGAAAATTATTTTTTTTTTTTACTATTGATTCTCCTATTCAACAGAAAAACAATACCCAGGAAATGAAACAAGAAGGAGTCAACAGTAACTGCCTCAACCAAACCTCACAAATACTAGGATGGTGGCGTCGTTTCTCTCGACTTTTAGGAAAATAAAACTATTTTAATTCCTGTCATATTTTATAGCACCAAAAGAAATAATTTTTATTAAATATATAAAATGTTAACTCTGTGACATTTAAAAGAGCACTAATAGTTATTCTTTAACTACAGAAAGGTTTCTTAACTTATTTTGGGGTCAGTCTATATTGTTTAATGTGGGTTATTTAATGTGGGAAGTATTGATCCTCTAATGTCAGGGGACACTTCTGTAACATTGGTGACTGGCTTCATGGCACTAATTCTCATCTGAAACTGTACAAGCCCTACTCTAGGGAGAAAACAAATAAGTATAGTAGAAAGAAACTTAAAAAAGAAAAGTGTTGGATTCAATGACAGCATCTAACCCTCTGTTTTAAAAACAGGCATTTATTTTACATGTTATGATTCTTTTCCTGTTCTCATACGAAAACTCTATAGAAGAAGAAAAGCAAAGCAAATGAGAATGTACAAATCATGGAAAGTATAACGAAGCAATTTGAAAGAAGTTTCAAGCAAAGTGTTATAAAGGTATTCTAAGCCAAGTTTTAAAAATTATAGACCAGAGTAGGATATGCAAGTAGATTCTGAAGAAGTACCTTTGTTACAGCTATTATATATATAATAAATCTTAAATTTTATATAATGTATTTTTAATTTATTTTGTGAGCACTTTTGAAAATGTACATGTTGCTTTATAACTGACATTACATATTTCTTAATAAAATAATTTTCGAATTAGTTTTGTATGAATATTCTTTTAAATTTAGTTACAGGCCAATTTTCACACAGTTTTCTAAGAGATACCACTTTTCTTCAGGTCTTTACCTCCCCTCATGCTGAGACCCCATTGATCACACACCCCTTTGTGCTATGCCTGTTGGTCCTGTTTATAAGAGAAAATATCTATAGAGAGGTACCTAAAAGTATTTAGAGACAGATGATTGCAGCACCTCACTTTCCTCAGTTGTGTCATTAATCCTTCCTTCTTTCTCCCCTTGAGCTTTTCTCACACCGGGAAGAGACAAAACAGGCAAAAGTTAACTGAAGATGATAAGTTCATTCTTGAATACCTGATGCAAGCTGGGCCATAGACACCCCTTCATTCGTCCTCAATTCAGAATCTTCCAACACTGATTGGAGAGAGTCTAGGCATAATAGAGCACATGGGAATACACTGACTTTTTTCTGTGAGTAGAAATGTTCCCCTGAGCACTGCCCTAGTGTTGGGGCTAAGCCACAATAGAAGAGGGGAAGTTCAATGTCCCTAAATACATCTTTCCACCAACAAGTTAAGAGGAAGCTCATATTTTGTATCCAATTAGCATTTAAGGACACTTGCTGTGGGTCAAGGTTTCAGCTGAATACTCAGAATACGGAAGGAAATAAAACACAGTCCTTGCTAGAGAAGCTCGAAGTGTAGATGAATAGGCAGTTTTCTTCTCTCAGAGGAAAATCAGGATATGCCCATTTCCCAAAAATCTTCCTCCAAATTAGCCTTGGACCAGGACCTTAAGTAACTGCCATCAGAAAAGAAACTCCTTAGAGTAATCTTTAATTTTCTGGGCAAAAGGTTGAGAGAGGGATGGCACTTTAAATCTATGAACTCCATCTTAGTAGGGATTCATTGACTCCAATTTTTTTTTAATGTGAAAAACCTTACTGTCACAAATTTTCTCCAATTTTGGGCCTAATTCCTCTAAAAGAAGAGAAGAAAGAAGGATTAAGGAGAAAGAAAATTATTCAAAGTCATTCCATTAAATGCAATTTCTTTGTGTTGAAAGATAGGAACTGCACATTAGTCAGCTTTCTGTCACTGAGATAACCTACTTAAAGAAGTAAGACTGATTTTTGTCTCATAGTTTCAGATGTTTCAGTCCATAGTGATTGGCATGTTGCTTTTGGGCTGTGGTGAGGCAGAAACATCATGGTGGGAGCATGTAGCCAAGCAAAGCTGTTCATCTCATGGTGGGTGAGAAAGTGAAGAGAAGGGCTGGGGTCCCACTATTTCTTTAAAGAACACACCTATGACCTAACTTCCTTCTATTAGGCTCTTCCTCCCAAAAGTTCCACCACCTCCCAATAGCCCCACACTCAGGACCTTGGGTAACACTTATCCAAACTATAACAGACTGTTACAGAACCTCGAAAAACTCTTCTTACTTTTTGGTTTAGGATTGCTTTGCAGCAATGAAAAAATGGTTGAAATATTTAAGCACACAATTGTTGACAGTTTGACAATTTTGAACTCTACCAAATTGGACAGAGTAGCAAAAGAGAGAGGTGCACAGAGAAAGAAAACTGGGAATTTGTAGAGGGCATCTCATGAGGGTTTATTCAGCTGAGTACTTCTCAGAACACGCACATGAGAAAAATACCCAAGAAACAGGAAAAAAACACACACACATCAAAACTATTAGAGGGAATGCTGCCCATTGCTCACTCAAGGGCAGGAAGATTGTCTATTCCCTTTTTTTTCCTCATTAGGCATCAGGTAGGGCACTCAGAAGAGTCTTACCTCAGTAATGGAGAATAATTAATCCAAGACTAATTGCTGCAATGATCCCACCCAACAGATCTTAAGGCAAGACTTGAAAGGATCAGTTTCCAAGTCACTTAGCTGCATTCCACAACAAATCTCAAGAATATTTGTAGAAATAAAAAAAATAATTAGGACACAACAAGGAAAAATGCACAATGTGTGATGTATAATGAAAAGTTATCAGACATGAAACCAGTAGGAAAATATATCCCATGATGGGGGAGAAAATGACACTGACTCATAAGTAACACATGTCAGAATTAACAGGTGAGGACGTTAAAATGATTAACAACCGTATTCAAGAGGTTAGAGACATATAAGATATTAAGAAGATTCAAATCTAACTTCTAGAAATGAAATATGCGATGGATGATATTAATGGGAGATTAGATATTTTTAAATATTAGCAAAATAGAAGATATGCCAGGAAAAACTGTCCAATCAGGTTTCCAAATTTGATGAAAGCTCCAAACTCACAGTTCCAAGAAGCTCAATAGAACAAAAGAAATAAAGGAAACTTCAGTAATGCTTATTATATTCTAATTGCTCATAATGAGAAACCTTAAATGCAGCTAACGGATTATGAATGCCTTCGTGATATCCTTTTCAGGATATCCTCTCCAAAGCACTTTGGTGTTTTTTCTTTGACTCTTTCCCCTATACCATTTATACATTCTTTCATGATAATAGCATTATATCATATATTAAACAATTGAATTTAACATCAGACAGCTTTGCTGACTAATTTCTACCTGTGACCTTGCAAGTAGTATGGTTGCAAGAATCTTTGTTTATATTTTCTGCCTTTATTGAAATAAAGGTAAAAGGTTGTCATCAATAAAACTCACATTTGCTGTGTAGCATTGCCATTTCATTTTTTTGTGCTATCTTATTGAATCTTTGCAATGATCCTGTGAGTTAGTTCTGTTCCCATTTTAGGGATACAGGAGAAGGCTCTGTGAGTACAACATCCAGTTGTACTTATCCAGTAAGTGCAATATCTGACCATTTCAAAATCTGTGCAGTTTTCATTACCCGGGGTTAAAACTTAAGATTTTTGAATAAGAAATGCTGCCAAGTGGCATTTGGGCCCATTGTATAATAGACAATGGTCATAACCTCAATACACTTCACCCCAACTCTCAATTATTCATCCATTTTCCCTCCCCCATAAGGAAGAGGAAAACTTCAGTAATGCTTATTATATTCTAATCGCTCATAATGAGAAATCTTAAATGCAGCCAAGAATTGATTCCAGATCCTGCAATGGACCTTGATTAGTTGAAGTTAGTCTGGGCCATCCCAATTTCCTTGCTGGGCAGAATGGAATTCTTGAGCAGGGTAAGCACATAACCACTTTTATTTAAGTGTAAAAAAATTTTTTGAAACTCTGTATTTTTTTTTTCACTTCTAAGAAGAGCCCAACAATGACAGGTTTCCCCTCTCGCAGGGTATGAAAAACATTTACACAGTACCAATTTCCTTAAGTATTGAGATGAAGTTATAAATGTCAGAGAAATAAGAACCTGAGGCTTTAATTTATAATAGAGGGATTAATCTATGTTGAGTCACCCTATCTCTTGATTTTCCATTCTGTAAGCTAGTTAAGCAAAGGGTTTGCTTGCTTATTGTCTTTCTGTGTATAGTTATTGTTACTTACTGTTGAAAGTTGCAAATCAAGAAAAGGTAAATTAAACTTGATTTAAGGAATAATATAAGGCCAGGCTCTGATTTCATGGAAAACAAGCTTGAAATCATGAACTGGAATGGTGGGGGTGCAGGGGAAGAGAGCATGTGAAGAAGATGTCATTCTGGCCTATTTTACATTGCTTCCTGTATGGTTTGAATGTGTGCACCCTCCAAAATTCATGTTGGAACCTAATCCATATAGTGGGGTATTAAGAGGTAGGATGTTTAGGGGTATTCAGAGTAGGATGTTTGGGAAAAGTTATTAAATTAATGAGGCTCACTTTCATAAATGAAACTGTGCCTTAGAAATAAGAACTGGAAAGAACTAGCCTAGGCTTTTTTGCTCGTTTTTTTGTTTTGTTTTGTTTTTGTGTGTGTGTGTGTGTGCCATGTGAAGACATAACATTTATTCCCTTTTATTTTTTTGTCCCTTCTCCCCTAGGAGGACACTTACTATCATCCATGAGGAAGAGGGCTTCACCAGACACGGGAACTACAGGAACCTTACTCTGGTCTTCTCAGCCTCCAGAACTGTGAGAAACAAAGTTCTGTTGTTTATAAATAAAGCAGTCTCAAGTATTTTGCTTTAACAGTGCAAACAAACTAAGAGTCAGCCTATAAGAAATTCTCATGTCCATAGATTATTGCCTGGGCAATTAGAGCTGAAGCACTACTTTCAATGATATGCTTATGGATGAACTGCTATTTCCCTTTTACTAGCCAGTCTTATTATGAGGAAGAGATGGCAAAGGATATCACATTATGTTGATTATGAATTTAGAATCGG